ATCACCAAGAAGAATTTAACGGAATTAATTGAAATTCAAACAGCAATTTCTTCTCTTTCCCTAGGGGCACGAAAATCCTTGCTCATCCTCGGGAAAAATAAATTTGATGAATTTGATGGATAAGATCCGAGATTGGAGTTCAGGGCCCACGGGGGTCATCTACCGTCGAAGATGCGCACTGAAGACATCCCCGTTCGCATCGCCAGTTTATATATACGCGGTTGCCACGGGCGAAAAAGACATAAGATAATTAAATATGCCTAATTATGAAATTCTGATTTTGTTTCGAAGTCGTCAGACCGTTTTTTTTTTTTACTCTAGGCCTTTCTTTTAATATATATAATTTCCTCACTTTAGTATTCAATGGACGTTTCAATGATAATGCATATTATGCGTGATTTCGATACGTTATCAACCATGAAACGAGAGTTCATTATAGAGACCGGCCTCGCCAGATTTTTCTCCATGGCATCACGAGTCCAACGACATTTTTGCTTTTCTCCTCCACCCACCTGCACGATCCTATACATAAAAAGATGAAATCCCTCCCTGAATTATTCCAGGATCCCAGGAAAGGGAAAATCATATTTCTTTTGTGAAGCAGCATTTTGTTTTTAATTTTCCATGGGTCATACTTTTGTCGAAATTTGGCAATACTTGGGGAGGAGTTGCCCCCTCAATGATATTGTTGGGGGGGGGGGGGGGGGCTCTTGCCCCTTTGCCCCTCTGGGTTCCAGATCTGAGGTGATAAAGATGGCTCGAAAGTAGCGGGCCATCGGCGGCTCAGGCTGTAAATTAGTGGGCTTGGGTAAAAAAAATTGGAATCCAAACGATTCCTTCATTGGAATCCAAACGATTCCAAGGAAGGAAGGGAAGGGAGTTCTTTCGCGAGAGCTGTGCTTCCATCTGGTGGCTGGGAGGGGAACTTCGACGCGTTGAAGTCCTTGGCGTGGGGATACGTCGGTGGATGATGGAATATTTGCTCTGATTCAGCACAATAATAATAATTAACAGCTAAATGAAGTGTGGGAGACGTGGCGACGTAGGGATTTACTAACTTCGGGTTGTAAAGGATGTTCAACATCATTTCGTATCCGTGTTGAGGAGTTTTGCATGCACGATTCGGCGAACGAGTTTCATCGGCCGCTGCGGTGAGCAAGAGGAGTGATTAACTGAAATTCTTGAAAGACTGGGAAACACAACCGTGCTTAGTGGACTGGCCTGGCTTCACCTTCAGGTTGTGGGCTTGGGTGTCGCCTGATGCGATGACGGAACTGATTCGGCAGTGCGCGTGCGCCCGGACCCAGCCGCTTTCACGAGTGGTTGCAGACATTCTGACGACCGTTCGGGCCCCTGGCAGGGATGCGCGACCAGGCGCATGGGGAAATGTCGTTAACTTGCAATCGATAAGACAGGATTTTATTTTCTTATATCATGAAAAAGCGAGTAAGTAGAAGGTTGGACAGAAAAGAGACACCAGTAGATAACTTAAAATTTGATCGTAATTTTGTTTCTATCCATGCGGCTTTTCAGGCCGAGAAAGGCCAGGACATCCGACATCCCTGTCGCACATGGCGAATCAGACGAAGGTGCGGTGTGCTTGTCGCGTCCCCGGTCAGTGCGCTCGCCGACAGCCGACTCTCTCGGATGAGTTCCGAGCGCTTTCGGTCCCCTGCAGCTAAAATTGTGAAAATCGTACTCTGTACTTGAACTTCCATGATGAGCGACGCGACGAAAGTGAGTGCAGCCGATTCGGCCCTCGATCCAATGGATTGCTCCGGCATTAGGCTAACCAAACACCTGGCGTCCTGGTGTTTTCGTGCTCTAGGCCAGATCGCAAGCTTTCAATAATTTTAAGTGGTTCCTGTCAACTTTCCATTGCCTGAGTTAGCCCTTCTTGTCGCAATCCCCCGAAAAACCTAANGAGGTTTGGTTTAGATCAGATGAAATCCGGAATTTCTGTTCAACCCTCATTAGAGGCATGCCAGAGAGAGTGGAGGCCCTGATCAAGGCCAAGGGTGGTCATACTAAATACTGAATGGACTTAGGAGATGTAATCTACAGTTTTCTAATACTTACTCTATGTAAATGATATTATTATGGTTTGCAAAGTATGAATAAATGAATTTCCTTGAAATTTATAATAATTTGTTCAGTACTGATTATATAAACTTAAGCACGTTCGTGCAGCGTCAGAAGCGGGATTTTCATCGTTCCGAGTTATCAAAGGACGCAAGTCCGTGATCCGGACGAGGCACTTCCATCGACTCACCAGCGAGGATGCCACTTCCGCCACTCAGCGGCAGACAACTGCCACACGAAGTCTTCCCACGGGGATTCCCGGTGACGAGTGCATCCTCACCAAGACGCAGAAGTTCGCAGACGCCATTTCAAGGTAATCGCGGGCTCATCTACGCGCGACTAGGACGTTCGTTCTGCTCGCCGTTACGTCGGGCAGCCCGTCGAGGGCGGAAATCCTGCTGCCGCGCGCGATGACTCCCTTTCCCATCTGGGAGAACACCATTCATTTCTAATGCGACCGCAGCAGGTTGCAGAAGAGACTCGTACAACACCCGCGACCCGATCCACTCGCAATTATGAACCCTCACACCGCCTCCAAATAAATATAAAAAAAATAATAAAAATATATATATACTGTTTATATCTAGTGGAGGACAGGCGACAGCCTGGGGCGGAGGAAGATTAGAACCAATTCAACACATGGAACTTGGATGATGCAATGAAGTGTCATCACCAAGGATGCCAGATATTTCCTCTTTCTTCATATCAGTTCTGATACGATACCAAAACTTGTATTGCTTCACGTGTTCGGTATCAATTTTCAATATCCGTTGGGGATCCGCATATTTTGTCCTTTTGTGCTCTCCCAAAGAATCTGCACATATTTGAACGACCATTAAATTTGGTGATGGCTGAATATGAAATGGCCCACATGTTGACATGACCGGAACGTAAGGATTTCAAGATTTCAAACAGACAAAAATGAAATTAATTGGAATCAATTAATTAGAATCAATGAAAAAAATTGACTGCCTAGGGAGAAAATGAGTTCTTTGGCATCCATGCCAGGTTGTGTTGACGCTTAAAAACAACAACTCGATGGCCTTTTGCAAACAGATTTAGAGGAGCCCAGTGGCGGCTCGTCAAGGGAGGCAAGGGAGGCCCGGCCAAGGGAGGCCCGGCCTCCCAGAGACAACGAGTAGGGACATCTTAGGGATATCAAATGTCCGGGCCCGCAGACATCCCAAGGATGTCCCCTTTTTTGAAGAACTAGCACATCCCAGAGACGTCCCAGGGATATTCCCTTGGGACAAGTGAGAAGTCCCAGGCAGTACTTGCGGATGCCTTCCTTTACTGCTAGACAATAATTTCCTACCACCCAGGACAATTCACTACTTCCGGAGGTGACTCCATTTCATCTTCTAGGAAGATCCCTCGGGCGGGCCATAGGCGGCTCAGGCACTATATCGGTGGGTAAACAATCCTGCGAGCGACGATTCCAAGGAAGGAGGGAAGGGAACTTTTTCGTGGATCGTGCGAAAAGAGCGAGACCCGCGCCTCCATCTGGCGGCCCGGAGGGGAACTTCGACGCGTTGAATTTCTGAAGTCCTCGACGTGGGGATACGCCGATGGATGATGGAATGTTTGCTCTGGTTCAGCACAACGATAGTAATTAACAACTAAATGAAGTGTGGGAGTGGTGGGGAAGAAGGGATCTGCTAACTTCGAGTGGTAAAGGATGTTCAACATCATTTCGTATCCGTGTTGAGGAGGTTTGTATGCATGATCCTACACGATTCGGCGAACGAGTTTCAACGGCCGCTGAGGTGAGCAAGAGAAGTAATTAACCTAAAATCTGGAAAGACTGGGAAGTACAACGGTGTTCCCGTGCTTACTGGCCTGGCTTCTCCTTCGTTGAGATAGTGTGCTTGGGTGTCGCCTGATGGGACGACGGAACTGATTCGGCAGTGCGCGTGCGCCTGGACCCCGCCGCTTTCACGAGTGGTTGCAGACATTCTGACGACCGCTCGGGCCCCTGGCAGGGATGCGCGACCAGGCGCATGGGGAAATGTCGTTAACTTGCAATCGATAAGACAGGATTTTATTTTCTTATGTCATGAAAAAGCGAGTAAGTAGAAGGTTGGACAGAAAAGAGACACCAGTAGATAATTTAAAATTTGATCGTAATTTTGTTTCTATCCATGCGGCTTTTCAGCCCGAGAAATTTCAGGGCATCCGACATCCCTGTCGCACATGGCGAATCAGACGAAGGTGCGGTGTGCTTGTCGCGTCCCCGGTCAGTGCGCTCGCCGACAGCCGACTCTCTCGGATGAGTTCCGAGCGCTTTCGGTCCCCTGCAGCTAAAATTGTGAAAATCGTACTCTGTACCTGAACTTCCATGATGAGCGACGCGACGAAAGTGAGTGCAGCCGATTCGGCCCTCGATCCAATGGATTGCTCCGGCATTAGGCTAACCAAACACCTGGCGTCCTGATGTTTTCGTGCTCTAGGCCAGATCGCAAGCTTTCAATAATTTTAAGTGGTTCCTGTCAACTTTCCATTGCCTGAGCTAGCCCTTCTTGTCGCAATCTCCTGAAAAACCTAATTGTTGGGCTTCACAACAATTTCAACAAAGTGAAAAGTGTTACAGGAAAAAGCCAACTGGGAAAGACTCCCAGAATTAGCATAAGCAGATAATTGCCACTTTAGGTGAACAAGCCAAATGGCTACCAGGCAGAATACAAATAAAGAGAAAGGTTTATTGCATCCATCTGAATGGAAATATCCTGGAGTCGTATTCATTGTCTTTCATCTTTGCAATACTATTTAAAAACATTGAAAAGATAAAATTCCCATTTGTTCTCAGATTATTAAAATCTAAATATTGAGTATAAATTATGATGTAAAGCACATACGGCAAAATTATGTAATTTAAATATGTAGTAATTATTTGTGTTGATGTCAAGCATTCAAATTTCATGGTTGAGGTACGAATTTCAAAGGGAAATGTTAGAAAAGCATGTGCAAAATATAAGGAAATGTGTTTTTTTGCAGAAGTAATGTTTAACAGAAACAAGCTTAACCATTTTTCCACCTTTTTCGTGAGTACGCTTAAGATGGCTTTTTTAATTGTGTAGTCAACTCTGCATATTGGAAAACTCACAGGACCAGTGAACTTTATTCTATATTCTGGACTATCCCTGTAACCAAAACCATTTGTGGTATCGTATAGAAGAACGGGGCTGTGCGATGGCATTTCATTAACTGGTATTCATTTATGCATAATCCTCTGTATGTCAATTCTGGTGTCAATTTCTTGGTTGCCTTTCGTCTTCACCCCAGTGATGTGAATGGTAAAAAGAAAAAGGGAAAAGGACTAAGGTTTAGTTGTGTAGGCCTACATGCATCGCTTTGTCTGGGCAGGTTGGTGAGATCTTCACTGCTGCTGGATCAGCATTTCAGAAGTTGGGAGAACTGGCCATGCAGTTGCACACCAGTGCTGATGGACCCAATCCTGGAGGGTGAGGGTGCAGTGATATATGTTATGCCTAACTGCTAGAACACTGCTACTTAGGAGCCACAAAGATACATTAGCATGCCTTTTGTGCAGTTTTTTAAACCAGGTCCAAGAACTGTGTCCCAAGCAGATTGGGACCTACAGCATCCAAAACTGTTGTTTTCTTGGCTGATGTGTAAAATCCAGCTGTAGCTGCTGGCAGATGTGCTACTTGAATTCTTTATGTCACAATAGAGGCACTAAATGCTCCTTGAATGTCATTATCATATTCATAAAGTGTTTAACATCTCAAGAAGAACTTCACATTTGACAATGCTGATGCCCTGGTGTAGAATTGGTTGTTATAATGATTTGATGGGAATGGAGAAATGGATGTTCATGTTTCACACAATTTTTGGATTTTCTGATGAAGCGAAAGAAAGTATTCATGTAACTCACCCTAATTGTCATGTGAATTTTGAACCAATTGAGTGATATTCTATTCAAAAAAATCTGCAGAATACGATAATCTTTCTCATAATCTTTGGAATGACAGTTGCAGCCAAGCACCATGGCAGCAATACCCAAAGAATGTTGACTCTCCTTTTCTGATTGTTATAAATGATAGTGGGTGCTCATAGGGTAGTCATCCAATAATGCTGAGTTTCAATGGAGTTGCATGCTGGAAATTGTTATGGCATACGTGCTTGAATGTTCATTTTTCTTCAAATCATTGCAGTTAATTCCAAATACTGTCAGCCAGTAATTTTACCCATTCTGCGCTTTCGCATAAATATCTTCTAAGTGCAGAATATTTCCTCTAAATGTGCATTTTCTAGCTCACACTCTGGTTCATTCAACTGGAGAAGTTTCAGTAATAGTTTTTTTTTCAATCATTTTGTATTATTTTGCCCTCAATGAGGCCTGAATGATGTGCTCATATCTTATATCATATTCTGGTTCATATTTTATAGGGAAACATTAGAAATAGTTCACTATGAATTTCTGAAACCCATATTGGAATGCACAGGATGGGAAAGTCTTGCCTTGCTGTGAAACTCAATTCAAATCTAAATTCCCTTGTGTTCTGCCATTGACAGCAAGTGGACTGACAAAGAAATCGAAATGCTGAGGCACGCCGTGAACCGCTTTAGCCACGATCTGAACCACATCAGTGAAATCATATGCAACATGACTTTCAGGATGCAGATGCATTTTATTTGAAGCAAAAAGTTTTGCACTGTTGATAAATGGTTCCGTGACAAACTCGGCCAAGGTTTTAGCCTTGTGTCGCCCTTTTAGGGGCTGAGAGCAAAAATCAAAGAATGGTCCTTGTTCATCTTTTAAAGGGAAACCTATGCAATTTAGCTATTTTAGTAAATGTGGTTTTTTTTTTCTCTCTATATAATGGTTTGGAATTCCACTTTTTGAAAGTCCATGCAATGAATTTGTCATATGTAACTTTCCTTGATTGCACATTATATTTTGCTGGGAAGCTGTCAAGGTACCATCTGATGCAGTTTGTAAAACAACTCATTTGAGAATCTGAGCAGAGTGCTTGAAAGATTTTTGCATCCATTGTGCTTTCCAGTTCTTGAGCACTCTTTCTTAATGGGTAAGGGATTTTGTTTTATGTGTGACTGCTAAGAGAAAATTTCCAACCAGGCATTGCCATTCAATGCATTGATTAATTGTGAAAATTGAGGCTTTTTAACTGCTAATGCGTCATTTTCCCTTCTACTTTTTCTTCTAGTGTTTAAAGGTCAATGTGATTCTCTGAAGGTTCAAGGTTTTTGTCCTATGGCCACCCTAAGAGAGTGGAAGAATGTGTGGAAACATTGCAGGTTCAAAGTTGGCTTCATCTACCAGTCGTACACCTCCACGATGGGACACCTGTTGAAGCGGCAGTGCAAGTTCGTGGTGATGCAGCGCATCCAGCGGGCCCAACGCATCGCCCTCCTGTACTCCCGCATCTGGAACGAGGCGGCGGTTCGAAAGATGGTGCAGCGGTGGAACACTCGGCGATGGCGGAACCGATTCATGCTCGGGGCGGGGTTGGTTGCCAAGTTCACCTGGAACGAGGAACGGATTCCGTTGTCGTTCATGGAGCGCCACGTTGATGATGTCGATTCGATCCATGAGCTCATCGAGGAAACACTGGTCTGTGTCCACTGCCACAACCGCAAGGCATTTGATGGAAAGCGAGAAGGTGTCTCATATTGCACCTGTCGGCAGACGGCCGTGAAATGGCAAGATCACAGCTGGCAGCCGTTTCTGGAGCGTGCACACGTCACCGTCTGGCGGAAGCCGTACCGCGGAAACATTTACGAATACAAGGTTCATGGTGGCTATGCCGATGTAAGCGCCAAGAGTTTCTCTGTTGCTATGTTAGACATGGATTTCCGGTCGCAATGGGACGTATCTGCCATTGACTTGACCACTGTTGACGAAGATCCTGACTCCAATGCCATCATTCTCTATTCGGTGATGAAGTATCCCTTTCCGCTGACTCATCGTGACTACGTCTTCAAGCGATCTCACTGGTTCTTTCCGGAGAAGAAGACCTTGGTCCTGGTGAACCAGTCCACAACGCATCCAAAGTGTCCCTTGAACAATTCATACATGCGTATCGCTGCGTATCAATCGGTGATGACCATCCGGGCCTGTGGTCCCAGCTTCGAACAGCCCACCATGGAGTTCACGCTGCATTACTATGACGATCCAGGTGTTCAGCTCCCCACGGCTTTTGTTTCTTATGTCTCCATGTTTGGCTTCCAGTCATATCTGAGTGCCATGTATGAGGCAGCTTTGAAGGTTGAACGGGGTCAGCACATCAGTAAGATCAACGATCTGCTCTACAAGGACAAGTCGCTTGCCACTCGCTTGGAGAATCTCACCCCAAAGAAGAAAGGTAGCGAAAGATGAGGCTGATTCTTGTAGTCTTTTATGGCAATTTAATTCTCAACTTCTGGTGCTCCTTACAAGGTGCATCTATCATAGTGTATGACGTATTAGTGGAATTCAGATCGTGGAACACACTACTTCACTGAGATGTCCTTTCATAATAAATCCTTCTCTCCTAAGACTATTGAAGTAAACGTCACCTATAACTTAAAAATAATATAGACAGTTTCACTAAAAAGTTGGAAGAACGGTATGTTTCTGTATTGGAAGCTCAATTTTCAGGACTATATGTATGTCGTCTTTTGAAAAGAAATACTCTACTTGCATCTCAATCTTGTGGGTGTGTTTGATGGCAGTTACTCAAACATAAACATTAGACATTCACTTCATTGCATCAACCGATGCTTTGATCCCAAATGTCTTCAAAAGCACTTTAGGTGACAAATGTGAAAATAGGTTATTGTGAAATCTTTGGGGCAGCATTCACGTTGTATACCTTATGTTCATGGTAGTATAATTGTTCCAGGTAACCATGGATATGATTGCTGAAACAGGAGCTACTTGCACTGAGGCAGTTTTTTTTACTAACATATAGGGTGTCCCATAATATGTTTGCCATATTGTAAACCCAAATTTTTTTTAAATTGTAAATTCAAATGGAAGGTGAAACAAGATGGTTTGCCTTGCTGCATTATTTTCAATTGAACAAGGGTGGATTTGAGGGGTGTTGAACACCTTCTGAGTATCCTTTTACAGTATGCATGTGAGAACTACTATTACAAGAGCTCAGATGTGGTTTGTCAAATTCCATCTAGATGACAGCATTTTTCATTGCTTAATAATCTATTGCATTGCTGTTTCTAACAAAGTTAAGCACAGTTCAGAAGCAAAACGTTTGCTTTCTCAAGAAACTTCCAATTTTATCTTAAAGGGGAAGAAATGTTTCACTGAATGACAGTCCCATATCTATAAATCCAATGTCAAATATGCTTCTTGTATGCAATTGAGTGGTTAATTTGTGAATACGTAGCGCAGAACATGATAGATTGCAATTTTGTGCATGAAATTGAATTGGAGCCAGCATGCAAGCCCTACGGAATGAGACAAATCTTTTTCTGTGCCATATCATTAGAGAACAACCATGTGATGATCTCGAACTAGTCTGTCATTAGGGTGAGAGCTCAGATTGTTTCATTTTAGATCCTCCTTTTGCCTGTCAGACTGGTCATAGTTAAAGCAGTAGCCAGCAATTGAATTTTGGATTGTATCAGATGGAGGCTGTTTCTCTTCAGGTGCCTATGGAAAGGGTGAAAAGTTCATCTCTGCTATATATTGCATAGTGTAACTGCTTTGATTTTATTCAGAAGCAGCATGGATGAACTAAGTGCTTTTGTTTCTTGTAGTTTGATTTCTTCGAAAGAGATAGTCATTTGTGCATAATTGTGAGTGAGTGAGGTCAACTCTGCTTCCTCCTCTTCGAGGAGGATGAACAAGCTTTATTTTATTAGCCAAACAATTTCTTATTGTGTTTATGCCTTGGTGAGCGCTGCCATCTTAGGAATGTACTCAACATCTCTGACTTTAGGATCAATGGCTGTTGCATGGACTTTTCTGTGTGACTAGGATCAATATATGCTGAATTATCTGCATTCTCAACGGACAAAAGTAATAATAGTACTCTTGACAGACACAACTTTTTACGACTCTGGGTTTCTCGAAGACTAGTCCACACTACGGTACCTTAGAAAGATGGAGTAACGTTACTCCATCTTTTATTTACGAGCGAAGTCGGTAAAACGCAAGTCGGAAGTCAAGCCATGTAGGGAAAGTCCATTAAGACCTACATATTTGGGGGACATATCGAATATTGTTACATTTGTTGTTGAACAAATTACCAGGCTTCTGAAAAAATTTAATATAGATTCTTCCTTATGTTGGGAACCATTTTAACTTGAAATTTAGGTAATAAGTGGGTTTTTACATTAAACTATGACAATTTTTGTATGTTATATTAAGTTTATTATGGTGTAAGTTGTGATTTTTTAAATATTTAGTTACAGGGAGTTTCATTTTCAATTATTTCTACCCATCTGGGCTTCTATCAATTAGAAAAGAAAGCACAAAGTATAATTTCCAGACCATTTGATTACCTGAAATATCTTCTTTTTTTTTTAGTTGTGCCTCTTTATGGAAGGCACTATATACTGAAAAAAATTGAGGATTCTAATAGAATAATTACACGTTTAGACTGGGGCTTTGTCCCTCATCTTCTACTACCTGGGGTAGAAAGGCTGACCATCCCAGTTCAAGCCAAGCTGGGTAATCAAACTCAGTTTCCCCATGAACCTTGTTGGCTAACCTGATGATTCTATATTTATTGCTGGCAGTTGTGAGCCCATGTGTACACAAGTGGTTCTACCTGTGAATGAAGAGCTTATTTAATTCATATCCATTCTATCTGTGTGGTAAACTGAATAATTTTGGAATGAGTGAGATTTCAAGATTTATTTATTTGTTTTTACAGACTTTTTAGGCAATATTTAATGTGCAGCTCTCAAACATATATTCATTCAGATAGCCCATTCTATTTATTGCATGGGATTGACTGAGCTGTTGCTGAGAATGGTTGGAAGATGATCCTCCTGGCATATTCCATATATGTGGAGATACATTTAGGAACAGTTGAAACTACAAACTGCCCTGCTTTGAAGTATTTAGGGAGATATTTGATAGCATGAGCTGTAGCTGTATGCAAACCAGAGTTTTTTTTTGTTGTAGAATATTGATGTAAAAATGTTATTACAAGAAAAAGTTGGGAGTTGAAAGACCACTGGAAATGGGATATTGCATTGTCATTGAAGCATTTCATCCATATTGATCATGGTGCAACTGTTTCTTGTCTCATCAAGAATCACTGGTTTTATATGGAAGAATTAGTAAATTTAACAAATGTGGTATTTGTGATGCCATAGGTACCCAATGATCTAGACAGAAAAATGGGGATGACTCCATGGATGTTGTGATTATGCAATTGTCCTCCTTTCACTTCATCACGTATGGAGAATTTTAGACAATCTTAAATCCGTGCTTTTAATCAGAAGCAGTTGAGCGTGGGATGTCCTGAGTACTCTTGTGAATGCCTGTTAATTATTTTCAACTCTTCCTAAGCAAAATAAGAGTTTTCAGCAGATGACTTCCTTTCTGTGCACATTTGCATGATGTTGACCATCTGTAATTCTGTTTTCTTCTTTCTTTGTGCTAAACCTTTACAACACAAACAATCTCAATCTTCATGTTTCTGCCTTTTCAATAGGTTGAACGCCGTTTGGGTTGTGAAGATGTTGTGTTCACTTTTTCAGCCCATAATTTTTCTATGGTTCTGCATCTGGTGCTTCATAGTGAACTTCTTTGTGACATTAGCAGATCCCTTCTGCCTAATTGTGCTATTTCTATTATGTGCTGCCATCTTATGTGCAGCCGTTGCACATCTACGCATCCCCCGTCCCTCTGACGAGTCTGTCCGCAGCATCCTCGGCCCTGCTTGGGACGAAGACGAGGCAGAGAATGTGATGGATGTGATTGGGCACCGTGGAGCATGCCTGGATGCACCCGAGAACAGCCTGTCCGCTTTTCGTAAAGTAAGTTCCCAGGAAGAGATCTATTAACGTGAGTTTAAGCAAGGGGTTCAAGTAAAATATGAATTCTTAAATGGCTTCATTGGTTCTTCAGTTGTGTACCTGCCCATCCTTTCTATGCTTGCCCATTGCACAATGTCCATGTTACAGTGCAAGGAGCAAGGGGTGAAAGGAGTGGAACTGGACGTGTCTCTGAGCAAGGATGGAGTGGCCTTCGTGTTCCACGATGACACGTTCGATCGCATCACTGAGGCCACTGGTCCTGTTTCCAGTTTAACCTGGAAACAAGTACAGGAACTCAACATCAAGCCTCCACCTGGTCATGAGTCAGTTAACCTTTCTTGTTGCCCTCTTCCAAAAATTGTGTGTTGTTTCATGTTAGGTAACATTTTATAAAAGGATGTCCTCCCAGAATGATTGCAATATGTTTAAAGAAATTATTTCTGTTATTCTTGGGCTGTGGATGCACTACAATATTATCATCTCCCATTGTTGACCTTTCATATTAGTTGATAGTGATGAACCACATGTGTTTGATTGGAAGTAAGAACTTGTTTGGCATGGCAGCTGGAAGTCAAACTGCTCTTATTTTTTCAACCATCATGAAAATGATATTCCTGGTGATGAATGAGGTAGCAAAAAATATTAGTCTTGATTCTTTATGGAATTGACTTTTGGTTCTATTTTTTTATTTCAGAACCATTCATTCTTGACTTGTGAAACACAAAAAATGAATGAAGAAGTATGGACATAATCCATCCCTAATAAAAGCATAAGTTCATTAATTTGGTAAATTGATTCTGCATCCAAAATAGAGCTATCAGTCAAGCATGGTTCCATCCAAGTTGGTATGGTTTGTTTAGACTACTAATTTCAAGGTATCCTCAATTGTTCATTCAAATTTTACTTGCATTCGACTTCTCTCAGAAATTGTGTTTGTGTTGGAGAGATTTTTTTTCTCAAAATAAGCTATTTTTCAAATATGTTGGTTCTGTCAGGAATGAATTTGAGAAGGAGAAGATCCCCACCTTGACCGAAGCCCTGAACACCTGCTTGAAAAATAGAGCTATCAGTCAAGCATGGTTCCATCCAAGTTGGTATGGTTTGTTTAGACTACTAATTTCAAGGTATCCTCAATTGTTCATTCAAATTTTACTTGCATTCGACTTCTCTCAGAAATTGTGATTGCCTTTATTTAACACAAACACAACCTCTCTAAAAAAAAGAGTTTTATTCGATAAAAAGTTTATACAACCAAGACAGTCCTTACTTAAACTCTTCCTCTTCTAGGGGTGGAACTGGCTTCGGGACTTGTGGACGAACGACCTGGGGTTGAAGGTCATCATTGATGTCAAGGATCCAACCCTCCAGGTGAGGACTCATTCAAAATTATTTTTTACCGAACCTCGTTTCAAAAAAAAAGACTCTAGAGTACCTATAACTGAAGATAGTCACATCCGTTTCCACATTTTACCATGTGTAAGTGTTAGTCCCGTAACACTTACACCGTACCGTACCGAAAAACCATGATGTGCCTTTTATTTGCAAAAATAGTTCCATCACAAGCCAATTATAAGTTGTCCTTTACTAGCTGACACAAGGTGTAAACATGAATCTGATCGTGGATCATTTTCTATTATGCAGTTAACTAAATTTTTTTTGTCTGCTAGCCACTTTGTTCTACTTTTCATCATGAAAATTTTTAACAATCTTGGTGATAATGTACTCTCTCTATTAATTGAAAAAAAGCCTGCCAAAAATAATCTTCATTGTAAGTTCAAATTCTTACAATGGCACATTTCTTTTTGGTGCATGATATCCCTCCATAACAATTGTTTCAACAGTTTCTTTATACAGGTACTAAATATTGAGTGTTCCTCAATCTATGTACAGTATGGGTGTAAAAAAAATTTTTAAGTTATCCAAATAACATATAGTGTTGGAAACCAGCACTATATGTTATTTGGATTGCTTTGCTGTTATTGCCTCAAAGTGTTATTTTGTCGAAATAAATGTAAAAATAGCTTTAAAAATGTCTTATTTCCTTGATTTCATTGTCAGCTAAAATTCATTAGCTTTACAACTTTTGACCATACATAGCATTTTGAAATTTGCAGCTATCAGTAGAATTGAATGATTTGCTGGATTACTTATGGCTGCTCTGTGCAGTTAGTACATTATTGCCTTGAGCCATCTTAGGTTATTTATTTCTTGAATAACCTTCCTTAACTTTCTTTTAGGCAGCAGATGTAGTATTGGAGATGTTCAAGACAATCCCAAATCTACATCATCATGCCATGGTTTCCTCGTTCTTCCCCAACATCATATACAGGGTATGTAATGGAATGCAGGAACACTGTCCTAATTTTGCCGACAATGATCAATCTTCTAGAAGTATGCTGCCCTTTTTATCCCCCAAAAACCTGCCCAATTCACTGAGTTGTAACATATTCCAGTGAAGAAATCAAAGTAGTGTATCTTTTTCTTTTTTTTTCCTCCAGTTATTTACAATGTCTGATTTTCTCCATGGGAAGGTAATATTCTTAGCACAAACTTGTTTGCTCCATGGCTAAAAAAAATATGGACAGTTTTTTGGTGAGAAATCAAAAATTAGTTTTTTTGGGATGACCATAAGAGCTTTCCATGCATCTTCATGGTGTAAAAGCTCAGTTCTGTAAACTTAATCCTACTTGAAAAAAACTGCTGCCATCAATGTATACAGCCTTCATGATTTAAAGTCAGTCTTTTGGATATTCCCTTTCCAATGCGACATGTTGAATGACAAAGTTTTACCCTTGTGTTTCACTTGTGTCCTCTTGGTGCCTTTGGTGACAGTGAAAGTGACA